TCCAGTGAACCTCGTCAACCGAGCCTTGATCCCCACCTTCCTTTTATGTGTGCTGTGCGACAGGGGCCCACCAACCGTATTAGGGTTGGGCTCCCCCGATCAGGGAGCAGAGACAAGGGCCCAATAGGCCGTTGGGCCTATTGGTGGAGATCAACAACAGTGCATAGATTTAGTGAGAAAATAAGGGTTCCCAGGCCAGCTTTTCTGCTTGGGGAATTTAGTTCATCTGTTGTCGGTGCTGATGTGTCCTACAACGACGGTGAGATGAAGTTTTTGGTCTTTCAGTTTGTTTTCGATGACGGTGGCATCTCCGAACGACCTGGAAGTTTCTTCCCGAGCTCCTCTGATGCCGTCTTTGTTGGTGGTGGTTTGGTCTTGGCGGAGGCCGGTGGGTGTGTGGTGCATAGCGAAGGCGTTTTCTGTGGAGGCTTTGACATTGATGATGTTTTCAGCGGTGAGGTCATCTTTTGCGTTGATGTCTTAGCCTTCTATGTGCCTTGCCTTCGATGCCCATGTTGTCCACTTTGGCGTCGATTTCGCTACCAACGACATGGCGGTTGCTGATCAGAGGTGGCTTGGTAATCATACCGGCGACAATGCTATGTTGTACTGTATTTCTTTCTACCAACTTGTGAGATCGGGTTGGTTTTCAGTTCCCACCTCTTCTGGTGGTTTGCTTCCCCTTCCGGGTGTATCGTCGCCCGGCGTGCCGGGGTTGTTGGTGGTTGGGGCACCAGATCCCCTGTTCTCCGGTGATGCGATGGCCACTAGCCATCTTGCTCGGCTTGGACATTCAGCGACTACAAAGCATGTTGGTATTTCTGATGTGCTACTCTTGGTGCCACCGAAAACCTTTGATGTTCCATCGGCCCTGTTCGCTTTGAGGAATTTTGAGGAATTTGGATGAATCTGGAGAAATTTGTGAGAGCGTAAATAGTGAAAACCAGCCGTGAACCATGAATTTCGGCTGGTTTTCTTACCAGCCGATCGTCGGGAAGGTGGTCGGCATCAAGGCTACTGTTCCTACCATCGGCGGAGAGGATGACCGGCAGAGTCTTGCAAGGACCTGGATGTAATTTTTCTTTCTTTCAAAGGTGTCTTTGTAAGATTTGGGATGTAAACTGTCAGCATTATTTGTGAAATACAACCCGGTTTCTCAAAAAAAAAAACTGCTCCCGTGACGTGCAACCTCGCTTTAGGGACAAACACCTTTATATATGAACCTTTATTTTTTTGAATGCTTATTTAGGAACCTTTATATGTGGAGGAGAGAAAAGGGACAGAGGCTGTATTTCTGAATTACTGTCCTTTTACTCTGAATTTCTCAATTTCTGAATGGTCCTGTGACTTCAGGGGTTTAGACTAGGCCCACGTGTCAGCCACTCATATAAAGAGGGGCAGAGGGCAGTAAAGTCATCAGAGGAGGATCATCCACTAGAAGGTGTGGCCTGGAATGAGGTGTGGACGTGTAGTTTGCAGAGTGATGGACACAATTAAGATGGGTGCAGTGAGGAAGCAAAGGTGAACACACTGTGCGAATGGGATGGACATACTTATGAGAAGTAGATCTATGCAGATTTACAATATATGGGACGTGTGTTTTTACAATGAGATATATGCTCCCAACATGTACGATACATGAAGTCAAGAAGTAATCCAAAGAAAATGGTAAGGAAGACCATTCATAATAATGCTTTTTGCGTTCTAAAAGGGCATTATTACACAAGTATACTAGTGGATCTCTGCCAAAACCCTAATGACTAATCATGGACAACATATGGCAGGCGCCAGACAGCAGGTCATAAGACAAAACTTAAGACATTGTTAAAACTATACAAATGATTATGATCTGAATCTGACCGTTGTTGTCTCAGGGCAGCTCCTCATGATCCCAATGACTCGAAGACAAGATTCGGAGAACTTAAGACAGCAAAGACCAAGAGAAACTAAAATGTAATTTCCATCTATCGCGCTCACAGATCTTCAACGTCCTACTTTGATGATGTGAGGTGGCCTTCATACTCTAACTTCACTCCTAAGCTTGCAGTGATAACCCTGAATTTCAGCCTTATCTTCTCCATCACGTCTTGAATGTGTTCATTCTCCGGATCAGACAGCGGATAGCTGCCCACCAGTGCAGCTAGCTGCTCAATATTCTTCCTGACCCGAGCTGAGAAGGCGTTCTGATCAATGAGAATTGCAGACGTCCACACATCCAGACAGCCCTGAAAGAAACCCAGTTCTTCACCGACTTGGAAACCCATCTTTAAACCAACGTGCCTTCCCTCTTCCTTTCCAGATGCCAAACCATCATTATAGCCATTTTTATACCCCTCCTGGTAATGTGTCTCACCTAAGAGTAATGTTGGGTCAAGAAAATCAGCCTCAATCTTAGGTTGCTGATCCATAATATGAACAAGAGCCTAGTTTAGCTATGCAACAGACAGTTCTCAAGAAATCTGATTCCAGAAAGCCTGCTTCATAGTAAAAAAAGAAAAGGCTTAGCATAATAAGAAATTAAATGAACACACACTAAAGGGAAAAAGGAGCTAATAAAACTGTATTCGAAATAGTGCTGTAAATCAGGAGAGGGAAACTGCAAATGTATGAATGTTTTCTCCAAAATATCACCTATTTTTTTTGAATGCCAATAGAAAAGTAAAACCGATCTATTAAAAATTGAAGTGAAACAACTTGATATTCAGGAATCAGAACACAGAAATGCAAAAGGTATGTTAGTGATTGCACATGTACCCGCATATATACAAGTGGAAAGCCAATATCAGAAAGTGTAGTCATAATAAGGCTTGGCACGATTGATACATACGCTTGCATATTTTAATACCATATAGAAATAACACAACATAATTACAGGCGGAGGGTCTCTAGAACAAAGCATGATGAAAATTAGGTCTTACAAACTAATCTGAAGAATTTACTCCACATGGAACAAAACTGAAGGATCAAGGTTCCCTGACCGAAATATTAAGATTTTTCGCTGGCAAGTGTGTAATGACACCATCTAACCAGGAGATGGTAATTGTGTGCACTGAAGGCCTGGAACGACGGACCACATTTATTTTTCTCCTTCAACTATCCGTGTTTGTGTGAGTTAGTTTGCAGGAGTCCTTGTGCTGCAATGCAGGATTACTTTTGCCCTTGAATTGCAATAATGTACTAAAGGGTAGCCAAGTTCAAAGAGAATGGTAGCTTGGTTTTGGGGTATGCCAACTTGCAATAAGGTACATGAAAAAGAAATGCACAGTGCAATCTACTGTCTATACAGCACGCTTACTGACACTGATACATACATCTCATCTAATATTGAGCAAATCTAGATACATGCGCAGGACATTTTTCTAGAAAACCCGATACACATATATGTTGTTTTAATAAATAAATAGTAAGGCATATTAAAATTCTAAAAGCAGCGGCAGCCTTGCGCTATGTAACACGGATACGCCAGGGAGGTGCCGTATCCCGTATCGGATACGTATCCGATACGGATACGCGTCCGATACGTGATGGATACGTATCCAAAGAGTATCCGATTTTTTATTAATTTCGTGAATATTGAGTACGTCGGCCGAGCACGATTCGCCTCGCTCGACACGTTCAAAGCCAGCCCCGAGCCCCGACGCCAGCACTCCAGACTTCACGCCGCCTCCAAATTTGATGCCTCGTCCCGCTCGCTCCTCTTCTTCTTCCCCACCTCTCTCTCTCTCTGAGGCCGGAGGTGCTCCCCGAGCTCGGTGTGCATGGGGCGGCGGTACGGCGGGTTCTCGCCCGGGTGCGCGGATTCATCTCGCCGCCCAGCGCTGGGGCATCCCGTCCGCCGTGAGGGTGCTCCGGCGGCGGCGGCGGCTTTCTTCTTCTCGACGGCGGCTATGGCGCTGCCTTTGCAAGCCCGGGGACGGCGGATCCGGATCCCTCAATGAAAAAGCACGCCTCTCGTCCCCGCGACATGGATCTCCAGCGCCCAAATGACAGTTCATCCCTTCCCGCTCTCGATCTACTATATTTCTGCAGTTCATGACTTATTGTTGCTTGATTTCTTTGGTCCGCACTTCCTCTTCCTCTCTCTCATGCCCATTCTCGATCTACTCTATTTTTGCATTTCTTAATTTCTTCTTGATTTTCTTTGTATGCGTGGATGGCGTCTGCGCGTCTCCAAATATGAGTAGATGGCGCTCTTTTTTTGACTCGATCTACTCTGCAGCTTGATGTTGTGGAATGTGGATGAGAGTGCGATGCGAGACATTTGACATTTATTAATAGTAAAACGAATAATAGAACTTAAGTAGTTAAGTAGACTGCAATGTTTTATTGTTATTAGTTTTAATATGCATTATTATCTTTTTAATTTTAAAATAGTAAAACGTATCCGCGTATCGGATTTTTTAGAAAATTGCCGTATCCGCGTATCCGTATCCTCCCGATACCGATACGCGTATCCGTATCCGTGCTGCATAGGCCTTGCGTTCTTGCATTTTGCTGTTCTGCTCCAAGAATGCATATTGCCAGCACTCCAACAACCATGCCAAGCCTGCCAAGCATCTACATCCAATTCTCAAAATCGAAATAAGAACATACGAGTGCTTAGTGCTGAAGTCTAGTCTAACATATCAGATTAAGAAAGGATTAAACTATTCAAGTAATCGACTTTGACTCGAGGCTTTAGGGTTGGAGGAGTCGAGGAGAGCTCGGAGGAGATCAGCAGATCACTGATCCAATTCTTTTCCCCTCCCGCTCACAGTTCCATCCGGAAGCCCAATACATATTAGTGAAAGCGCTTGCAGAAGCTGCACTAGAACTACTTGAGTAGTTGAGTTCCTTCTTGGCCGGGAAAAATCAAGCAAAGAGTTGGGGCACGGGAGAGGGGACATCCGGACATGAAAGGACTACGGCCACGGGAGGGGAGAGGAGCAGAAACTTACGGAAATACCGCCGGAAGGTGGCGCAGCTCGCCGCGCGTGGGGGGACGTCGGCGAATAGGCACCATGCGGCGGCGGCGTCTGGCTGAGGGCCTTGCGGGGGCACGGGGTAGCAGCCTAGCAGGGCCTACCGTAGTGCTGGGCCCTGGCCCGTATCCTGAATGGGCCAATACATATGATGGGCTTCATATGTATCGGCCCGGCGAGCGTGCAGGTTGGAGAAGACGCGAGGATCCCGGCGGCCTGGAGATGCGCGTGGCTTCGGCCGCCCGTCCAGTACTGGAAGCGGGCGTCGACTTCGGGCGGGCCTGGAGATCCGCAGGACGCGGCTCGGACCAGCTGATTCCGTCCAGGAGCGCCCCCGCGACGGCGTGGGTTGAAGCGGCGAACGGTGGCTCCGGCAGGCGGCGCAGGGCGGCGCCGCAACCCTAGTCGCCAGGCGCGCCGTGCGGACGAGAAAGGGCGGCGTGGGGTCGGAACTGAGGGGCTCATCCGTGCCGGGAAGGTGAGGTGTCGCGGCATTTATTCCAGTGGCAAAACTTGACAGAGAAGTTCATATCTGGTATTGTGGCGGAGCAACCGAGAAGTTTGGAGCATTTTTTTTTCTCCGCGTCCTCTATAAAAAAAAAAAAAAAAAAAAAGAGAAGCCATTGGCTAGCTTCACGATGGAAGCTGGTCGATTTACATCCGTTTGGTAGAGCTTCAAAGATTCTTAACACAGGCCTCGAGGCATCCCGCATCCATACAGCTTTCTGCTCAATATAATTCGCCTTAATTTTATGAAAAAAGTCTATTTAACCCTACACTTTTTATACATGATCTACTTCACCACCAACTATGAAACCGTCTGTTTTACCCCCCTCAACTTTCCAAAACCGTCTATTTTAACCCCTGGCCGGTTTTTAACAGCGGTTTGCTATAGTAACATCGGGTTTGGTACAGTGTCGGTGGGTTTGAATTTTCTTTTTTTTTTTTTCGGTGAATTTTTGAAAAATCATAAATCATAGAAAAATCATAAAATGAAAAATCTAATTTTATTGGACTCCACATGAGTAGATCTACACAGTGAATATATAATACGTTATGTTTTAGTACAAATTTTTTACTGTAGACTTAGATTAATTGGAAAATCTAATTTTATCGGTAATTAATTGGAATAATTCATAGCTGCAGCTTCTATGGTCTAATTGTGGTGAAATTTTTATGCTACGCTAATTATTGTATGCTTGAACTATAGTAAAAATTTCGTACTCATTGGACTATGTATAACTTAGTTATAGATAAATTCTAATTAATTACAGAAAAAATTGGATTTTCCAATTAATCTAAAGCTACAAAAAAAATTTGTACTAAAGCATACCGTATTATATATTCAGTGTGTAGATCTATTCATGTGGAGTCCAATAAAATTAGATTTTTCATTTTATGATTTTTCTATGATTTACTATGATTTTTCAAAAATTCACCGAAAATAAATAAAAAAAAGGAAATTCAAACCCACCGATACTGTAGCAAATCACTGTTACTGTAGCAACCCGCTGTCAAAAACCGCCCGGGGGGTGACATAGACGGTTTTGAAAAGTTCAGGGGGTAAAACAGACGGTTTCATAGTTTTTGGGGTTGAAGTAGACCATGTATGAAAGGTGGGGGTTAAGTAGACTTTTTCCTAATTTTGTCATGGTTAAACTTTTCTAATTTTGATCCAATTTATAAAAATATATATTTAGCATTTATAAAATTAAATTAGTTTATCAAGTCCACTGTAAAATATGTCTTGATCAAATCTAGAGAAATTTGATTTACCAAAAAAAACGAAAAATGAGTTACTATTGAAATGGAGTGAGTAAATGAGTAATTAAACTTTCTGCAATCTGTTCTTTATCTCCACATAAGGCGGAGAGTTTATGTGCTGGAGTGTTTCGGATCAGCTACTTACTTGACCAAGTTGATTAATTTGCTGAGTTTAAGAGAGTTGCTGCTGATAGTGATTGCAACAGACAACACCAATTTTGCTTACATCGCGATGTGTTCTTCCAGTGCTGCCGGTGTCCCCAGCTGGAGAGGCTCTTTGTGCAGGTCAATGTTAAATTATTGCATTCAGTGCATTGTGAACTCAAGGAATGCATTCAGTTGATAGTACTCATTACATTGATGTTCTCTCTCTAGTATTTCTGAATGCAGACTTCTTCTACCTGCAGCTCCAATTGAGCAGCCATGATGCCTCTGTGGACAATTCCTTGGATGTAGCAGAGGAAGATGAGCCAGATGGAGAGCTATTTGAGGATGAGCTACATGAAGATCTGTACAAGGAAGATGATCTAGATGAAGAAGAGCCCGATGAAGAGCTATACGAGGCATATGAGATTGAGGAAGAACTATTATTAGAAGAATAACCAAAAGAATATATGCTTAAGGAAGGGCTATGCTACGAGGATGTCTATGAGGAAGATCCTTGTGATGAAAATGTGCCAGATGATGAACAGTCTGAGGAAGATGTGCTAGAAGATAAGCAGTATGAGGAAGATGTGACAGAGTATGGTTTACGAGGATGTCTGTGAGGAAGATCCTTGTGATGAAAATGTGCCAGACCATGAACAATCTGAGGAAGATGTGCTAGAAGATAAGCAGTATGAGGAAGATGTGACAGAGTATGGTTTAAAATTTGAGTAACCTTATATTTGGGAAGGTGATGAAGTTCACGGACACTACTTTGAGATGCGGCTAGTAAGCTTTCTGTTGAGGAGGGCTACTGTTACTTCCTGAGGTGAATTACATGGAAGGACTTGGAGAAGAACCATTGGATACATCCCTTTTTCTAGAGACAGTACTGAATTATGAAAAAACTTCACCAGATGCTCGGATAGTTCTGAGTGACTGATCCTGTAGCAAACCAGTCAGTGCATTCTGATGTTTTTTAGTTTGCCATCAGTCGAATTGTATCAGATTGCAAGTAAGGACTTGTCTAGTAGTATGTCACCTCCAAGTTTATATATATGTTGTTGGCTATTCATATGTGTTGAAAGTATGATTTGTCAATTTGGCACTGTCTTTTTGCCATTTTGGTCATTAATCTATGAATTGGAAAACATGCAAGCCACTGTATTTGTTGCATGTATAGTAGGTATGGTATTTGTTTGGCATAGGCCATGAATGATGAGGGAGTTGTATTCTCTAGGCATTTTGTTCTTATCAGGTAGCTTGATCTATTTCCGTTCCTGACTTCCTGAGTGAGTGAATTTTTTTATTATCCTTGTCGACCAGAGTTCAGTATATTAGATGGATAAAAAGTTCTTGTAAAGTTACTGAAAGGGGGCTCTTAGTTAAAAATTCTGCTGCTGCTGCAGGAAGTCGAATGTTTACAGCAAAATTCATACATTCCATTAGACTTTATGAGAAAGGAAAAGTCTGATAGTTTAATCACTATTTTGTGCATCGATTCTTTACTAGACAGGCACTACATGCTATATACTGTTATACTAATAATAATAAAGCCTTTACTTTGTCATTATTTGCTATCTTTCTTACTGCTTTTAGGAGTCAACTTGTTTTTGGCATGAAGATTATATGAACCTATACCTAACACAATAGAATTCAAGTCATATTCAGAACTACAAGATCATGTGTCTTGCTGATTAACCTGCAGAAAGCCTGGGAAGTGTACCCTGGCTGGCTGAGTGTTCCTGCAGAGCGTCAAGTTTTAACATAGACAAGAGTGTTCTCTCCATATCTGCTTGTTTGGCTCTATGCTCTGCAGACTGCAGATGCCCATATGTGCTGTTTTAAATTTGTCTTAAATCAAATCATTTCAAGTTTGACCAAAGTTATAGGAAAGAATATCATTTTTTTAAGTTGCTTGAACCTGTCCTACAATAATTTATCGGGACAGATCCCCTCAGCAAAACAGCTGCAAACACTCAATGATCAGTACATGTACATAGGTAATCCTGGACTTTGTGGACCTCCTCTTGTCAACAATTGCTCCACGAACGAAGCAAACAAGAATAGTTATGAGGAAGATGAAGGCACCATACATGATAGATCATCTTTCTACATCAGTATGGGCTTGGGATTTGTGATGGGTCTTTGGACGGTGTTTTGCACCATGATGTTCAAGGAAAAATTCAGGGATGCTTACTTTCAGATGATTGATAGCCTATACGACAAGGTTTATCATGTCTAACAGTTTATGAGCAACGGAGCAAGGCTGCCTCTATAATAAAATTATCAAATTGCGCGGCTAGCTTGATTAGACAAAGATATGATTATGTGCGCTATAGTTTGGAAAAAGTTTATATTTATTATAGGAGTACTCGTGCAGTTAATTCAAATGTACATTTTGTTTATCAAAGCGACAACTTTGAACTACTCAATCCATTCTCTTTTGTACTTATCATTTGAGAAAATCGATGTGTTCTTTCAGTGCTGCCGGTGTCCCCAGCTGGAGGGGGGAGAGGGCGTGTTAGGGTTTTATCGGAGCTCCGTGGTGGCCAGCTTGGTTTGTTTTCGTTCCTGATTTCCTAAGTGCGTGAAAAAATTATAGTCCTTGTTGATCAGAGTTCAACATAGCAGATGGATAAGAAATTCTTGTAAAATTACTGAAGGAGGCTCTCAATTACAAATTCTTCTGCTGCTGCAAGAAGTCGAATGTTTACCGCGTAATTCATACATTCCATCATGAGAAAGGAAAAGTCTGACGATTTAATCGTGCATCGATTCCTTACTAGACAGGCACTACATGCTATATAGTGTTATAATAATAACTACTACTCTTTTAACTGCCCGGGAGTCCCTGGCTCCTCCGCTGTCCGCGCACTGTTTATTTCTTACATATATTTTTTTAGGCTTCCTTTGGAACCCAGGATTTTTACATGATTAGTATAAAATTTTAAAGGAAAAACAGGGGATTCGGGAAAATTTCCCACAATCCAAAGGGGGTCTTAACCGCTCAGGAACCCCTGCCTCCTCCATTGTCTGCACACTGTTCATTTCTTTTTTAATTATTTTTATTTTTTTAGTTTTAAAATTTTAAAATTTTTGTTTACTTTGTTTTGTTTTTGTTGACGGGATCCCCCCTCTTTTCACCCAATTTTCCCTTTAAAAAAACAGCACAGCGTAGCGCGTCCATCGTCCTAATACTTTGTCATTTTGTTGTCTTTCTTACTGCTTTTATGAGTTACTGCTTTTATGTTTGGCTCTATGCTTTGCACCTGCGGTTGCTCATACGTCCATCTCTAGATTAGGTTATACTGTAAATTCAGGTTACTATTTGATCATTCCTGAATCTGAATGTGAGATGCAGGTGCAGTAGCACTGCCTTTAAAGTTCCATCAATGCTTTGCTCGTGCGGCAGGATAGCTCAAGCAGTTTATTACTCACGCAGGTCGGCAGGACATCAGGAAAAAGCAGCGTGGGGGCAGGGAGGCTGAAGCCCCCTGACTGAAGCATATGGCATGTTTCTAAATAAGAAAAGAAAAAAAAAGAAAGAAAAAAGGAAAAAGATAGGCCGTGTGGACGTGTCACATGCTGGTCAGGTCAAGTCAATTATTTAGCCATTTATTACTGCTCTGGTCATCAGGTCATTGTGTAAAAAGAAATGCAGGAACGGCCATGACTCATCGGAGGGTGATGGGGAATTGACGCGGATCGGCCGGTGAATATTGGCGATGGTGTGACGTGTCAGATCTTAACGCGGCTGCAAAAGTCTTGGACGTGGATGAGATCTGGAACCTTTTATTCCTGCATCACCTCAAATTTGGGGCAATTTTCTTTTTATTTTATACTCGTACTTGGGACAGGTCAGGTCAGAGGGGAGCTGCGGTCCCTGCTGCTGCGACACATCCGCAGCAGCTATCCAATGAGCAGCGACCGAGAGAGCGGCTGGTGCTGGCGAATTGGCGATCCACACAGTCACACGGGGACAGGGCCCGCGGTAAATCCAGAGGCACTGTGCTAGAATTTGTGTTTGTACTCCTCTTCCCAGTTTAACTGATTAACCTAAGCTTGAGGTCAAAGTGATCAGGATGTATTGAATATTGATGTATGCTCTGGCAGCTTGATATTGGTTTCATAATTTACTACGCCTTGTTTAGTTTCTTCAAACTCCCAATTTTGACATCATATAAAAAGAAGATTTCTCGTCACATCAAACTTGCGGTACATGTATGAAATACTAAAAGTTGATGAAATTAAAAACTAATTACACAGTTTAGTTGTACTTTGCGAGACGAACATTTTAAACCTAATTAGTCAACGGTTAGATAATTATTATTAAATACAAACGAAATGCTACATTAACACTACATTATAAATTTTGCCAACTTTACCCATCCAAAGTTTGGCAACTAAACACGACCCTCTCTTGGTGGTTGGGTACTAGGACTCAGTCCAGCAGGTAGGCTCGCCTTTTCCATCGCTCTCCTTGCTTTCTACGGCCTCAGCGGATCGTTATTCGTTCATTGTTCGCGATTGGGGTTCGTCACTTCAGAAGCCAGAACTCAGTGAGGTCTGAGGCGAGAAAAGGATGGGGTTCTCCTTCTTCACCTCTCGAGCCGGTGTTCGATTGCTGGACAGGATCGCGCGCCCTGGCGTCTCCACAGCAGCACTTCTGTTCGCAGCGGCCAGGTGCGGGTGATTGTGCTTCCTCCGTCGCTTTCCACCAGAAATCCGCCCGATTTTGCTCCTTTATTTTTTTGGGGTTTCGTCGCATGATTTACTGTTACTTTTCCTGTTTACCTCTATTTGTTTCTTCCCGCCCCTTTGAGTTGCTTTCCTGGTCGACAATCGTAGTCAACTGTGAAGGCCCTGGGATCATGTTCTTGGTCTTTTTGGCCATCCGTCTATTTGTACTTTTGAGAAGGGAAGGGAAAAATCCCCCTTTCAATCCATACCTTCGGTTTGGTCCCAAGATTTCACTTTGACTACTCCGAAGTCCGAACCAAGTTGTTTATTTGGGCTGCATTTACTAAAAGAGTCGCTGCCGCTTTGCAGTGGTGGAGGCCTTGTGGTGTACGCGGATTCCGCTGCAGAGAGTGCTCCGGAGCCATCTCAGGATGCTCCCAAGAAGAAGGTGCTGGTTCTTGGGACTGGCTGGGCTGGGACATCATTCCTCAAGAACCTCGACTGCTCCCGGTATGAAGTGAAGGTCATATCGCCCCGGAACTACTTCGCATTCACGCCTCTGCTTCCGAGTGTCACATGTGGCACCGTCGAGGCGCGCAGCATTGTCGAATCGATACGGAGGATCCTTGAGAAGGTACTTCTTTGCCATTTGATTCTGTGCTATTGTGTTCTGAAAGTAATCGGGTGTGGTGTTTGTCTATTCTCCTACTACGAATGAACCTTTGGGGTACAGCCCTCCTTACTCAGTATCTCTTGGCTCTTGAGTCTTGCCGTGTGTTGGTTAACTGTTGTGGGGCCCTAGAGCGCATGCAGTCAGCATAATCAGATCATAGATATAGTTTTGTAATGTGTACTTTTGTAGTTTGGATATATAGAAGTGATATGTGTAGACATGAAATTATTTCATAAATCACAATGTTGCTCTTTGTGACTTGTTCAGCTATCCCTAATATGTGACGACTGATGATAAAATTCAGTTGTCAAAGTGGCATAGCATTGACATCAAAATGCCAAAAGATTCATTTCTTGTTTACTCGGAGTGCTTACATTGATACCTTGGATGCGTTCATTCACTTTCTGTGTTAGTTGAGTGACATACTGACCATTTTCTTGTTCTCCTTGTCTTTCTTTTTCATAGAAAAACAAGGATGTCACATTTTGTGAAGCAGAGTGTTTCAAGATTGATGCAAATAAAAAAACTGTACATTGCTGTTCTGCTGTTGGAACTAATCTTGATGGGAACGGTGATTTTGTGTTGGATTATGATTACTTAGTTGTTGCTCTTGGAGCTACTGTAAGTACATTTAACACTCCTGGAGTGCTGGAGCACTGCTGCTTTTTGAAGGTAAAATTCCCTACATATTCTATTATGATCCATATATCAATTATAAGCTGTAGTTATTCTGCTTGATCTTTTATAACATCATGAAGAAGCTTTTGATTTGGATCTAATTGTCTAATGCTGTGTGAAACGACACTTTTATGACTAACAAAACAATGTAACTGCAATGATAAAATCTTACATTGACACATAGATTTCATTGCATGAAAGAACCTGTCAAATTGTAATCATGAAAGGGAGTCAAATGTCAGTTTACACTGAACCATTTGGCATGATGTAGTGCACACCCATTTGGAACTCATATATAGCTTCTAGCTACTTATGTTAAGCATACGTGACCTAGGTTTTCTTTTTCACACGTTAACATTCCCATGGAGCACCTGCTCAATGTCATTACATTCTCTGAATGGCCCTGTTGTGTGAGTTTGCCCTTAATGCAGTATAAGCTTCAGTATCCTTATGGTCATTCTTTGAAGATTTACATTCATGAAGCTACTAACTGCATCATCTATCATGTAATGTTTTCTGTCTTCCTCTATCATGATATGGCTTCACATCGTGAAAGTCAGGAAGTAGAGGATGCTCAGAAGATACGGAGGTGTGTCATAGATTGTTTCGAAAAAGCATCACTTCCAAATATTAGCGACGAGGAGAAAAGGAAAATTCTACATTTTGTGGTTATTGGTGGTGGACCTACTGGAGTTGAATTTGCAGCAGAGATGCATGATTTTCTTGTCGAAGATTTGGTGAAACTATACCCTGCCATTCAAGACTTTGTGAAGATAACAATTATTCAATCGGGAGAGCATATATTGAATATGTAAGGTTCTATGGACTTCTTAGATAGTCTTGTTGCAGTAATAGCCATCTTTATCTTCCATGTTGCTGTAATAGTCCTGTGTACTTTGGATAAGAGAACCTCCAGGTTAGCTTAGTGTATCTGTATTACAGTTGCAGTTGGGTGTTTTTTTTTCTTTTTTACATGGGAAAGCATTTCAAATTGGATGAAAACATGAACACTGTTCAGAATCTATTCTTGATTTAACCTCAGAAGATTGTAACGTTTACCATGATATGAATGTCTATTTTCTGCTATATAGGTTTGATGAAAGAATAGCTGCATTTGCTGAACAGAAGTTCCAGAGGGATGGCATCGAAGTGTGCACGGGCTTCAGAGTGATAAAGGTGTCTGATGATTTGATTACAATGAAGAGCAAATCAGCTGGCAAGGAGGTATCAGTGCCTTATGGAATGGCTGTTTGGTCTGCTGGCATTGGTACTCGTCCTGTCATCATGGACTTCATGCAACAAATTGGGCAGGTTGTTGAATCTCTCATTACCAGTTAACCCATTTATGACTTACTCAGCAATAGTACAACTCCAATGTTTTGTTACTATATCAAAATATTCTCTCCTTGAACAGACTAATCGGCGTGCCTTGGCAACTAATGAGTGGTTAAGAGTTCGTGAGTGTGAAGGTGTCTATGCAATTGGTGACTGTGCTACAGTGAGTCAAAGAAAAATAATGGTATGTGTAGAGCCTTTAATCCCTATTTACAGATAAAGCCTATTGTTCTTGCTTTCCAACTTGACAGCTTGTAAAGGTCAACAGTCATGTCATTAACATCACTGCACAAGCTTATACTGATATTCTGTAAATCGTGAATGCATATATCAATAAGGTTTATTGCTCAATAATTCATATGTATGAGATCTACCATTCTGTAGTTCATATGTATTTTTCAACAGCAAATCCCTCTGACTTATCTGTTTCTATACTTTCAGGACGATATTTCAATGGTATTCAAGATGGCAGACAAGGACAATTCTGGCACTTTAACACTGAAAGAGATCAATGATGTTTTAGAAGATATATGTATAAGATATCCACAAGTAGAGCTCTATATGAAAAGTATGCACATGCTTGATATTGCGGATTTAATAAAAGGCGCAATAGGTGATTCTCACAAGGAGTCTATGGTGGTTGATACAGAGGAGTTCAAAAAAGCTCTGAGCCATGTTGATTCCCAAGTGAAAAATGCTCCAGCAACAGCTCAGGTTTGCTCTATGGCGATATGCAAGTTGTCTGTTAATGGTATATATAGCAGTATAGCACAGACAATGCTATGATTTGTGAATAACCAGTTTCCTGACTGTTAGGTCGCTGCACAACAAGGACAGTATCTCGCTGAATGTTTCAACAAAATGGAAAAATGCAAAGAGGAACCAGAAGGCCCTTTGCGCATGACAGGGGGATCTGGCCGTCACTTTTTCCGCCCATTTCGGTATTTAGCTTTCTGTTCACACTCCAAAGTCATAACTGCATAGTTGCATGCTATGTCAGGCCTGAAAGGCATTATTTCTGAGTTCTGACAAGCTTAATAATGGCATAGAGACTAATAATTCATATTCAGAAAGATGGTCAGTTCAGAACTTGTTTTTATCGAGTGAAAATTGTTGCTAACCAAATATAATTTTCAAAAATAGATCTCGACATGTAAAGCTTATACTGATACTGTTAGCTCTTCAACTTATTTTTGCATTGTATGCCTACTCATCTCCTCTTGATGCCGTTGCTTTCAAGGTACAAGCATTTCGGGCAATTCGCACCCCTGGGTGGAGAACAAGCTGCTGCAGAGCTCCCGGGCGACTGGGTCTCCATGGGCCACAGCACTCAGTGGCTGTGGTACTCTGTGTATGCCAGGTAGAAACTCACTCTCGAGTGCGCCCTAATCATCTACAACCCATCTGACCGGAGAAAGCACAACCCCTCATTGTGTTTGCATGTTGCTATTCTCTCCACTTCAGCCACCGCCTTATCCTTTTTCATCATGAATAATCAAGCCTCTGTCCTCACAAGTCGTTTTTGTGGCAACTCATGACTGTCCTAACTCGCTATCATTGTTCTCTTCCCATGTATCCCAGCAAGCAAGTGAGCTGGCGCACGAGGATGCTGGTGGTTTCCGACTGGACTCGCCGGTTCATATTCGGGAGGGATTCAAGCCGGATTTAGTACCCGCCGCCGAACCAGATGCATCGTCATCCTTCTTCTGCACAGGGATTTCTTCTGAAGAATAATCAATTTGCTGCTGGAGCTTGAGGCAAGCAAAGCTGTTCCTGTTTCCCGCCCCCGCGCCAGGTCCTGCCAACGAAACTGCTGCTCTTTCGTCTGTGTCTGATGCACGGTGTTCATTTTCCTTGCTCCTGCTACATGATGGATGGATGGAAGGCTCTCAACATGTGAAGCAGCTTTGGAATAAAGAGGGCCCCCCTTTTTAGCTTGCGCTGTAGCCCCGTTTGGAACATGGCATCAGATTCTTGCCGCGAGAATCGAACCACTTCACGTGAAATTGTCGCGAGCCATTGTTTGCACGCATGCCGTGCAAGTTCGTTGTTATGAAGTGAATTGTTGCTGCAGTTCTCATCTTTTAGACTAGGGTACGTGAACCTACCAAGCTGACTGACCATCCCCAGACCTCACCAACCAGATGAGGTCTCAAGTGTTGTTCAGGTTTTCACTGCTTGTAACAGCAGTGATGATGCTGATTACTGACAGCAATAACGGCATGTCTGCCTCAAGGGTGGCCACGGAATGTAGTACGCCTACATCACATGGTGTGGGAACCCCGGCATCCATGTTCTCTAGTGTCTACGCATGGATTGGTCCTCCCGGCCAATGGAATGCCGAGTGGTCCATTTTTTTTGCTGCTGACGCCGGCCTCTTCTGCCGCAGCTGGCCCTTCTCAATCACGTGCTGTATGGATACGGCTATACGCTCCCCCTGTTCGACCGTTAGTTTATTATTACCGGTTGTGATAATAATCTGCTTTGGATTCACTGGAACAGGAGCAGCTTGCAGAGCATGTAAAGCAGGACAGGTTCTTCTCCCTCTGGTACCTTCGTTTACCACTTAGATAGTCAGGATCTGTTTGTTGGTTTTGGCCTTTGGGTGACTTTCTAGCTTTGGGTGGCTTCTTGTTCTTGTCGTTGGTTTTTTGTTACTGGGTTTTTTTTATTTTTTTTCACGTTTCCTCAGCTTCAGTCGCCCGAGCTCTCAGGCGACGTGTAGAGAGCACCGTCTGCTGCTTTGCTGCCTGAGCTGATGGAAGGAGGCACAAAGCGGATGACCACTGCTCACCACATGTCGCCTGATTTTTTTTTGGAAAAAACAGGCGCCTGTGCAATAGCAACTCCCATTTTTTTTAGCTTCTCAGCACGCCAAAAAGCAAGAAAAGCTCCTCAAAGCATGCATTCAACTTTTAGTTTACTTTCTTAGAAGTAAGCTTTTTCTAGCTTTTCAAAACCAACTCAACAATCAGGCGGAAAACAGATGTAATCGCGTGGATTCTGGTGCAGGAGAAAATACTAAGGGCAGAAAACCTGCAAAAAAAAAAAAGAGGAGGATGGCCTCACCAAGATCATTATGTGCTGTGTGATGGCCCTTTGGAAACATGCTTACACCTATCGCTTCTATGCCTGTTCGCGCAAGGTGGTATGGACCCAAATCCTAACCTGGAAGCACTTTGACACCTAGCTGACACAGTTTGACCAAGACCCTGCTCACTTGAGAACATGGTGGGGAGAGACCGTGCCCAAGGTCGCAAAAGAAGAAAGAAGATGCTTTCAACGGTCTGGTGATTTACACGTCCTGGAATCTTTGGAAGGAGATAAATCAAAGAATTTTCAACAATGCTCAGGAATCAGCTTTGCAGGTTGCCTCAAAAGTCAAGGAAGACATTGCACAAAGGAAAAGGGCTTTAGAAAGGGAAGGCTAGCAAGGTGGGGTTCTTGCTGTATCAGTGTTTGATGATCCTTTTTTCCTCCTTTGCCTCCCTTTCTGCTGAACTAAGACCTGTACATAAAACTATTCTCTCCTTCCTTAATTGAGAGGCAAAGCTCATGTCGTTCGTTTCAAAAACAATTTGGTTGTTTGTTTCAGCTTTTGGCTAGTAGAAGCCAAAAAAAAAGTTGAAACAAACATGCTCTAATTGAGAGCGGTATAGTTTCTGAGTGATAGTGATAGGATGTATTTTCTGAACAGGTATATTCGACTATGAAATTACATCCTACTACTTTTTAAAAAACTAAAAAGAAAAAAATCAAATTACCATCAAGATTCACGAGATCCTTATCGTGCTACTATTTGAAGCAAGAATTTTCAAGTGGTATTTGAAGCAAGAATTTTCAAGTGGTGTTGTTCCAAGGTGGCACGCGCTGCACACCTTTTTTCATGGGGCAATACAACTAACAGATCCGTGAGAGTAGATATGATGATACCTTCGTGTGTTGTGGTTTCTCTTGGGGTGGCAAGAGTGTGGTGTGGAGTCCAATAGCGGATGTGACCAGACATCCCGCATTGTTTTTTCTTGGTGACGACTAAAAAGTAGTCTTGTTGTTTTTCTTGGCGGCGACTACAAAGTAGCCTTGAAGAAGTCCAGATCTAGTGGAATTCTTTCATCGATCCGTAGTTTGTAGAGCTGCAATGACACTATGGCAATGGATCCTACATAGTGGCATGCTAAGTTATGGCTAAGGTATTCAACGACCACAATACATAAGGTTTGAAGTGCGAGCGTGCACCGCGGTTTAAGTGGCCTATGGTTGCAGTGGGGAGTTCTGTTGTGGCAGCTAGCGGTGTTTTTTTTTTCTTTTCTCAACACGCAGACTTGTGCATTTGTATTAAGGAAGAGAGAGTTTTTTACAATGCGCCTTGAGCAGCAACTTAGACGAGGGCACAAAGATATGAAATAAGCTCAAGCTCTCCCTGAACACTACGACTCTAGCCTATTATTCTGGACATCAGACAACCGAGGTTCTTGGCACCGGCTTGTACCCAATGATCCTTCTCATGCTTGATGACTATCATAAGGAATGGTATTTGGGTGTTGGCGCCTCGGAAGCATCTCGCGTTCTCTCCTTCCAGAGTTCCCAGGCGACAAGAGCAAAGACCGAGTCCGCGCCGCGCCTGCAGGGTCCGTTCCACTACGACCTCCACGCGTTCTAGAATTCCAGTATTGTGTCCTGGGTCGCTATCCCCTGAACCGGGCTGAGGACGCAACTTGCTTGGCGAAGGAACACGACACGACGATGTGGTCGATGGTTTCCGGTTCTTGGTCGCAGCTAGCGGCGTTGATAGAAGTTATGAAGATTTGCGGTGACCATATTGTACACGGTGGTTGTTGTTGCTGATCACCCATAGAGTTTTGGTTGTTGTTTTTCTTTCTTTCTTTTTGTAGGTAGTCTCCTGGAATTACTTAATTGCTTATATAGAACTGTTGGAATTTCTTGCATATATTTTCTGCTATACAGGCACCGTAAGTGATGGTTCGTTAGAAAGAGTTATTTGGATGAGATTTTTGCATCGCAACATGACACGAGTGCTTTTTTCACTCAATCCGGTGAATACCGTACAAAGCAAATTGTACATGTTACTTGAAGGTAAAATCCGGTGAGTACCACGGTAAGTACCGTACCGTACGTCGCTGGGGCAGAAGATACAAGAGGCATTTGCAGTTTGCAGATGAGATCCATCATCCATGGACAATTGGACACGACACCTCATCAGTTCATCCTTTTTTTTTTTTTTTTTTTTTGCATCCTGTGATGTAGTTTTGCCATCTTGGTAAGTGCTCCATTCACGCTGTCTTCTGTAGGTAGTATACCTTTCATGACAGAGTTATGGTACAAACGTGCATTTACACCATCCAAATCAATGCCTGTCCCCTTGCCTGCTGGGGGGTGTTTAGTTCCGACTACTAAAATTTGTTTCTGTCACATCGAATGTTTCGACATATATATATATGTAGTATTAAAATTAGACTAATTACAAAATTAATTGCATAGATTAAGACTAATTTACGAGACGAATCTATTAAACCTAATTAGACTCATGTTTAGTCTTTCTAGGTAGTACCTAAATACCCGATGTGACATCTACTAAACTTTAGTCCTCGATCCCATCCATCACTGGAGTGGCCGGTGGGGGAAAAATCATTGAAAGCAAGAACAGGTAGGGCTCATCCTCTGATCCTTTTCTCACAAAAGAAATCTCTCAAGTCATCTCCAAGCTTAAAGCCCAAGAGTCCTTAGTGTACCTTACTAGATTTGCACGCACTTGCCAACTGATTACCCTAGCTAGACCCAGCTCTGCCTTTGTTTCGCCGCATGTCCTGGCCCAGACCACAGGCCAATAAGAACATGCTAAACAAAGATACATTTTTAATGACATATTGTAATTTGGAACTGGGAACAATTTCATATTTGCCACTGAATGACTATATGCAACTAATGCCAAACTATATGGACTAATGTGTCACTGACACATTGTTCCACATTCAGGTTCGCAATGAGACATGTTGTTCATCATGAGTTCATGTTGTAATATCTCTCAAAAAAAAGTTCATGTTGTAATGTTGTTGTTTGCCACTGACGGCATTTTTGCATTCTTTTTGTGGGGGAGGGCGTTAGATGAGCTCAAAACCAGAACAGTGTTTGAAGCCGTTGCTGTACTGTGACTTTACCTTCAAGTATCATACGCTGCTACGGAGCAGGTTAGGTGACCAACAGCACATCTTGCATGAATCACCGGGACACAGCTGCCAATGGGTACCAACAGAAAGAGAAGCGTAAAGCCATTTTGCCGTTATTTTACTCCCGGGAAGGTACTCGATGCTAGCCTCATAATACATGATGAGCAGAGCGCTGCATAATCACCAACTCAACTGTAGCTCATGACTCCATTATATCCCAAGGAGGCGATGAAATAAAGGGTATTCAGCATCCTTTAACTCTTTCTGCGCACTCACCTAACCCACTGATGCAAGCCATCATTCCATCCCATTCATTGCAGCAATTTGCTGCTAAATTGTATGCTAACAATTCATTCATACTGGTCAGATAAATTACTCTTTTAGCTACTGCAGACTGCTAAGTACAAAGTTACAGTGAGATGGGAGCATGACAGAGAAAACAACTGACCAAGCCAGAGATGAAGCTGCAGGCTGTACACAGATTGACAGAGAGAGGTGCAAGATTCCAATGGAAGAAACCAACAGGAGGCAGGCAGCATGGCAGATTGGCAGGGGTAACTAGAGGACAGATCAGAGATCGGTGCCGGCACTACCAACCAGCCTACCCATCTGCCCCCATAGTGGCGTGCACTGGCTACCAGTAGATGCCAGTACAAAACTAACATTTGTCCAAGCTCCCTGCACCACCATACATACATAGCATCTCAAGGTCCCAATCCCAAGATGAATGCTACTACATAGTTAGACAGTGTTCTTGTGGTGACCTCCACAGAGTGCAGAGATGGGAGAAGATGAAGAAGCACCAGGTGTCAGCAATGGTGAGGCACTGGAGCTCCTCATGTCCATGGCGTCCTCTTCACTGGCCTGCTGTGTCTCACAGTTCCCAGCCAAGTGGCAGTCCATCAAGGACATGCTCCATCAGCTCTGCTGCAGGCTGACTTCGCTCTGCAGCGGCATCGGCGCCGATGGCGACGGCAACGATGACGACGAGGAGCATCCTGTGCTGGCTGAGCTTCTGCGGCTGGCTTCAGCAACCGTGAGGAGCATCCAGGTCGTTGCTTCTCAGTGCAGCGACGGGTCATACAAGGGTGGAAGGCTTCGTCTGAGGAGCGACCTGGACAACCTGAGCTGCAAGCTTGATGCACACATGAAGCAGCTCAAGGAGATGGCTTCGTCCGGGGTGCCTTCGCCGTCGAAGGCCATTGTCGCCGTCAGGCCTAGCGTCGAGGCCAGCGTAGGTGAGAAGGCGTTCTACCTCAAGGATCTCTTCTCCAGGATCCGGATCGGTGGCACCGTCCAGAGGAGCCAGGCACTGACCACCATCAGAGAGCTCTTGGCAGAAGACGAATTCTGCGCAAAGGTTGTCGCTCTCGACGTCGACGACGGCATCGCCTTGCTCACCGGGTTCCTCGAGTCCACGGAGGCATGCATCCAAGAAGAGGCCGCTGGTGCCGTCGCCGTCGTCGCGAGCTCCGAGTGTTACAGAGGAATGCTGGTGAAGGCGGGGGTGATCGCCCCTCTTGTCCAGCTGCTGGAGAACACGGACACGGCCAGCGAGCTGGGCAAGGAGAGGGCAGCGCACGCGCTGAGGGAGCTGACGGAGAACTCCGACAACGTGTGGGCCGTCTGCGCACACGGCGGCCTCACCACGCTGCTGCACGCCTGCGCGGGCGCCGGCAGCAGCAGCAAGCTCATCAGCTCGTCTTTTGCAGTACTGAGGAACCTGAGCCTGGTGGAGGAAGTGAAGATGTTCATGGTGGAGCAAGGCGTGGTCACGGAGCTGGTGAAGCTCTCCCAGAAGAAGGAGGAGGTCCGCAAGCTCGGTGCCGTCGAGTTGCTCCACGTCATGGCTCTAGATGACGCCGACGTCAGGGAGGAAGCCGTCGGCATGGGGGTGATCCAGTCACTCCTCCAGTTGATATACCCCGACCTTCCATACTCATACAAGGCCAGGGAGGTTGCTCTTGCAGCCATCTGGTTCTTCTGCTTCTCTTCTGCAAACTCCTTGGATGACCTCATCAGCTCGGATGTTCTTGGCTGGCTGCTCTTCTACCTGAACAATGGCGACTACGCTGTCCTCGAATGCACCCTCAAGATTCTGAGGCATCTCTCTGAGGTTTCTGAGGAGTACAACCGGATGATGGGCAGAGCAGGGTATTTGAGCGCCCTGTCAAGCTTGCTTGGAGCGAAATCCTGCCTAGTCCGGGAAATGGCGGCTCAGGTTCTGTCCAGCTTGCTGATGCTTCACCCCAATCGCGTCATCTTCATTCAAGACGGCGACAATCTGAAGAGGCTGCTGCACAATCTGAAGAGGCTGCTTCAGCTTCTTCTTCCTCCATCCAGCTGAGGGCAAAGCCAGGCTGATGGCGAAGGGGGCTGGAGCACAGGTAGCCCCCGCTGGCTTCGTCGCTGCACCTGATCGAAGGACCTCCTCTCTGCTATCATGTCCTTGGCTGAGACCCACAGTGGAAGGAAGAAGATTGTGACATCAGAGAATTTCTGCTGCCTGAAAGAACTGGCAGACTCTGGTGACTTCGACGCCAAGAAGATCGTCAGGAAACTATCTAATAACAGACTGCAAACCATCTTCAGCAAAATATGGAGTGTCTAAGTTATGTCTGACTCCTTTTTCACTGAGGTTTAGCTCTAGTTTATTTGATGTCCATAGTTTTTTTTTTTTTTTTGCTTTGCTTGTAATCTCGACACATCGATCCATCATTATGATTCCTTTGTGATATATATTGCAACTTCAGTTAAATTCAACCTTTTTTAGGAACAGGGTTCTAAATTCAGCCTTTTAGTCTCTTGTACTTTGTGCGATTTATTGCAAATCTAGTATTTTTGTCTTACAAATACAATGACAGGTAGAATTTCCAGACTTTAAGGAATTAAGGCTTGCATGTAGCACTGCAAACATACGACTATAATCCATAGCTCAAGAACTACATCAGTGTCGGTCTCTAATTTCTGCTGTCAGGACTACAGGAGGAGCATATGCTGAACCGTCAACCAGCCAATCTTCTGTCTACATCTGCATCTATAGATAATCCAAAGAAAACTTAAGCACCCTACCAATCCGTTATGATAGGAGCAAGTGGGAGTTAGCTAGCAGCCAAACTAACGGTTCCTGCAATATTGTTACTGGGAAAGGCAGTGAAAATTAGTAGTAGGCAACTGACTTGTCAAAGCAGCCAAATGGAGGATAAACGTGTGAGTTAGCTAGCAGCCAAACCAACGGCTCCTGCAACATTGTTACTGAGAAAAAGCAGTGAAATTTAGTAGTAGTGGACAACTGACATGTCAAAGCAGCCAAATGGAGGGAGGATAGACAAGAACAACACTAAAAATACTGGCATCGCTCTCATACCGAACAATCATCAGCATGTATTCAGACAAAAAAGCGGGTTGTCTTGTTCGCCAGTAGTTTGTTTTCTTTCTAATATTCTTAGGATTTGGGCATTCGGCATTCCCGTGATGCTTCAAGATGACCTCGTGAATGGCTGATCCAGTAATGACTGATCCAGGCCTCTCTGTATGTGGTCCAAAGGTCCAGTCTGGCCTCTATTTGTATGTATATCTCCAAGCTGAAAGCAGTGGTGATGTGGATTCATGGTTTGTGCAGTCCTTATTTTTTACTGCTGAAAAAATGTATTACTTGAATGTTTCACATTTTTTATCAGTGGACTTCCTCTTCCTGTGTGTTGGAGAAAAACTATGCATGAACCAGAGAAGAACTAAAACTAGAATTGTACCATCATGCATGGCTGTGGTACAACATTCAGGAGAAACATGTGACATTCCTAGCTGGATTGGTGGAAAACTGAACTTATAGGTGCTACTGATACTGACCAGTTACATACATACAAGGGACAGCAATTCATCAGTCCCCAGAGCAAAATTATCCAAATGCATTTCAAAATCAAAGGAAGCAAAGCAAGACAAATAAAGGAGGAGAGGCATATTATAAACCACAGCATGATCCTGTACTTGATCAAACCAAGAACACACTTATTACAATTCGAAACAAGAGCACCAGCAGGAGCAGACATTTCACTCTCTTTTCACAAGGCAACACAAAAGTACTAGCAATGTCTCAAGAGGGGGAAAAAATAGGACATGAGATATGATATGAATGTAACAGTAGACTATGTAGTAACACACTGCAAAAAGAGGCCTCACCCAAATGCAAGCTCAAGTTAAGCAGGCACTTCGAACACTCATGACGAAGGGGAGCCAAGCTGTCAGAAGGAATTGATCGAAGCCAAACATCTCATGCTTCTGCTGCTGCTGCTGCCGCCTCAGGTGATTCAAGTTCAACCACCCGTGCCTGGTAGGGCGTGACGAGATTGCCATCCTCTGCTGCGGCGGTGAAGAAGGATCGCTTCCCAACCAAATCTGCAACACGTTTGGCACACCCTGAGTCACGCGGGCTCTCATCAGAAGGCGGCATGGTCTTGATCCTTGGGAGTAGCTCTGCAACCTTGGCAACTGTTTCAGGAGACAGCTCGTCATTCGACGGCTCAGTGAGCTTTGCTCTGATCTCCTCCCTCTGGCTTGCAGCACTAGCTGGTCCTGGGAGAGACTGCTTGGACCGTTTGTCTTGTGACACAGCTGCCAGGGACGAACCAGGGGTGATGCTGTAGCGGCTCGGGACGACCCTGACCTTGGAGCTCCCCGCCGGCCTCTTCGCAGTGGCTGCATTGCTGGTGTGATTGCCCACCACCAGGCCTTTGGGCTTGAGTTCATCAGGCACTTTGTTAACCACGAGTGCCGTGTTCCCTCCCCTCGCCGCCTCTGCAGCCTTGGCGCTGCCTGCTCTTGTCTCGGTAGTAGCCTTGGAAGTGGACTGCCTCCTGGACCTGCTGGGGCTCATGCTCCCGCTCCTCGCCTTGGCTTTGCTTGCTACGGTGCCTTGCCTGGCATTGCTGGATGGCCACGGTCTAGCGGGGACGGCGTGCTGCTTGGAACGCTGGCCTTCCTCTCGAACGGCACCGAGCTTGTTGGAGAAGGCCTTGACCCGCGCCGCCGCCACCGCCGCACCGGGTTTGCTGCCGACGCCGTGGTGGATCTCCAAGGGCCCGAGGCTGACGCCCCTGCGCCGCTGCACGGGGGGCTCCTTGATCGGCCTCAGGATCGGCCGCGCGGCGCCGCCCTCGCCCTGAATCTTCCTCTGCGGCGCGGTGGCGGCGGCGGAGGGGACCCTAGGGTTTGCGGCGACGATGTCGAGGGGCCCGAGGCTGACACCCCTACCCCGCGCCGCCGCCGGGGCCTGCTTGATCGGCTTCAGACCCTGCGCGGCCCGCGGCTGCTGCTGCTGCTTGTCAGTGGTGAGCGGGTTGGGGTTGACGGCAGCGGCGACGTCGAGCGGGCCCAGGCTGAACCCTCGCGGCCGCGGCCGCGCCGCCGCCGGCGCCTTCGCCACAGGCGCAGGCGCGACCTCTCTGCGCGCTTGGGCGGCTCCGTCTGCTTGGAGGTGCGGAGGTGGTGGAGGCGAGAGGACAGGCGCAGGATCTCCGCCTCGATGTGGCCGATCTCCGCCTCGACGTCGGGCTCGGGGTCGGGGCGGTGGTTCTCCTTGTCCCCCTCCGCCTCGCGGCGGGCGCTCGCGGGCACAGGGGAGTGGGCGTGCCACGCGGAGGAGGAGGCGTGGTCGAAGGTGGCGTTGTTCCAGACGTGCACCAGCGGGATGAGCGGGTCCTCCTCCATCGCCCTCGCCGCCGGAGAGCCCCTGTTCCCGTCCCGTTGAGGATTCGGCACAAGCAGAGAGATCAGAGGGGAAGCAAATCAACCGAACAGAGGCACAGAGCCACGAAGGAATCCAATCGGGCAAACAAAATTCGAAACCGGACGGATGGATAGATACCTGGACCGGGACGATCGGTCGACGGGTGAGCGGAGGCTGGGAGGGGATGGTTTCCTGCTTCCCCCTCGCGTGATCTGAGGCGCGATTGGTTTGGTTTTTCGAAACTCGCGGTGTGAATTGGGGCGATGCGGTGCGGGGAAAGAGGAAGAGAGGTTTAAGAGGCGGGGGGTGTCAGTACTCGACCGTTGGGGACTTGGGGGCTCGGGAGCGGAAGGGGAGCGCCGCCTTGCAAGTGGATTTTTTTTTGGTAGAAAAACGAGAAATACACTCGCTGACAGTGGGGCCACGCTGCGAGTACTAGTGGGTGGGGTGGGCCCGTGCCACCGTGGGAGGCTCGGACGGGGGAGTCCCTGTTCCCCGATGTTTGAAATTTGACTTTATATTTATGCTGAAATATTGTGAGAAAAAAATATTTTTTTAATAGCTGAAAAATAATTTTGGATAAGCTAAGTGAACAGGGCCGCAGACGTTGCAGTGCCGGTGCGCACCCACCGAACTCCATCCGAGAATGTCGTTGCGTCGCATCCATCCCTTCGACACGTTACCGCCCATGCCGCCGTCGACGGAAGTTCCATCTCTGAGATTTCATCCATTGTTTCCTTCGAACGATCGTTTTCACTAGCCCTCTCACACCGCCGTCGACGGAATAATCCATCTCTGATCGGCTTTCAAATTCGAAGATGATTTACACCTGCAAAATTCATATTTTTTTCTTCTGCTGCTGCTAATTCAGTTCAGAGAGGCTCTGCATGTTGTGCTCATGTGTTTTCGCCTGTTTCTTGGCGGAAGCAGAGAGTTTGTTCCTTCGAAAAATAAATATAAAATAAAAACAAGTAGAGAGAGATCGTTCCTTTCGCGTCCTACCTACGCTTCTGCATCAACCGAGACGTAAGAAACTGCGTTCGTCCGAGTTAGCGGCTAGCGCCGTAGACTGCACGGATGGTTTCGTTTCCCGCCGATTTGTTGGGACTCGTGGTGAGCATCGGATCCTCGTTGGTAGCTTATAAGCCAAATACGCACGGACGATTTGGAAATGGAATCGATTGACACCGACTCTTGCAATCGGAGGTTTCGACAGTGTGCCATACTGTGTACTACTCCTTCTCCATGAGAAAAAGCTCCCGCAAAAGATTGCTTTATACAGTACAGGGGAAAACGAAGACATTGGTCTTGTTCGGCTTGCCGAATCTTGACTGGAATTGGCTGAAAAACACTGTTTTGGCTAAAATGTTATGAGAGAAAAACACTGTTCCAGCTAAAAAAAACCCGAACAAGTCGGATATGTAATAAGTCGAACGGGGCCGTTATTCGGTTTTCAAGGACGGTGCGGAGAACACGGGTTCCTAGCCCCGCACTGGCCTGGCACACACGGCTCAGCGTTGCCGCGCTCCGACTCCGTCGTCTTGGCGTCGTCTTACGGAGAAGTGGCGCTGCAGGTTTCGGCTAGGCTACCGACGCAGCATGTTCACATTCGGCGTTGGTTTGTTTTTTGGTCATGGTTCGTAAAGAAATCTGGATGATTGTTTTATGTGAGAAAAATCGTTTCAAATTTTAAAATTTATGATCATTTACGATAAACCACGACCAAACGAACCGGCTGCGTCGCTGCCGCATCGCATGTTCCGCGCCCCAACGGTCCTGCCCGTTGCGCACGTCCAGCCGACGCTCACCGCCACCCACCTGGCGTCTGCCCTGCGCGCGCGGCCGCACCGCGCGACTCAGAAATGGTCAGCTGGAACTAGGATGGATTCACGTACACTGTACACATGGACCCACACACACAGTGAGCTGAAGAGCGTAGTGCCAAATTAGTGCAACTAAGAGGGTGTTTCAGCCTATTCGTTTGGTCGTAAACGATCGTGGATTATAAGCTAAAATAATATTTTTCTCTTACATCAAACCAGCCAGCAGTAATAATTCATAATTGTTTCAGCCGAAACGAACAAGCTGTTGTTCTTTAATCGCTCCTAAAATTCATGTCACGTCGAATGTTTAGATACTAATAAAGAGCATTAAATATAGATTAATTACAAAACCAATTACATAGATGGAGGCTAATTTGCGAGATGATTTTTAAGCCTAACTAATCCGTCATTAACACATGTTTACTGTAGCATCACGTTGTCAAATCATGAACTAATTAGGCTTAAAAGATTCATCTCGTAAATTAATCACAAGTTGTACAATTAGTTTTGTAATTAGTCTATATTTAATACTCTATGCATGTGTCTAAATTTTTGGTGTGACAGACATTTTAGGAGGTCCAGGAACCGAACGGACCCTAAAACACCAGTAGTAGAGTACAGCAGGTTTCCAGGCTTCAAGCCAGTTCAGCTGCATGATACATTTGTCTGATCTCTGTATAGTATAATAGTAGTATGACTTGACGGGTTTGTTTTAGGTACAAGAACTTTCTATAATATTTGTGCCAGGAGGGAGATTGGCCTCCTAAAATCAACATGAATGATACCAATATTTGAGCTAACTTGTCCAGGGCAAGGTTTACAACTTTTTTTATAAAAAATAAAATGCTTGCTGCAAAGAGTCACGCGAATGGAGAATTCGCTAGACTTTTCCTTTCTCCAAACGGGGTATACAGATTTTGCAGAAGAAGTATTGATTCATAAAGGTGTCTTGAGAAAATCCTGCATTAAAAGTAAGGCCTCTTGCAGTATTTACTTGTCGAGCTGTTGGAGTACTTGATTCTGAATTTCTGATCAGTCTTCTCTTACCACAATCTTCTTCTCTCCGGGGAATCATGGCCAGTAATGGGCCGTGAAAACAAGCCCACGTAAAGCCGAACGAGATTAAAAACAGCCCAAGTCTTGCGTGTCATCTCCAGGCCTTTCCATGCCCCCATCTTAGCCCACGGGGCTACTACTATCTTCTTCGTAGACAAAAGACCATAGATAAGATGGGAAGCCTGCGCAGTTCTATGAAACCGTACACATTATCTCCCTCAATTTTCACGATGATTCATTTTCTCTCTGAACTCTAAAACCAGCCAAAACATCTTCCTCAACTTTTAAAATCGTTGATCTTACCTTATTGTCCCTGTTATAAGCAGTTTTGAAGGTGGTTTTATCTTTTTCTTTTTTATTTATTTTGTTGGACTCCACATGAGTAGATCTATACAGTAAACATATAATATGGTATGCTTTAGTATAAAGTTTTTGCTGTGGCTTTAGATCTATGATTTTCTGTAATTAATTGAAATAATTCATAGCTATAGTTTCTATGGTCCAATTGTGATGAAATTTTTATGGTAGGCTAATTATTGTATGATTGAATTGTACTAAAAATTTCATACTCATTGGATCATGAATAGCTTAGTTATAGATTTATTTATATTTAACAAGTATAAACCTAAATAAAATCTATAACTAAGTTATACATGATCCAATGAGTATGAAATTTTTACTATAGTTTAAGCATACAATAATTAGCCCACCATAAAAATTTCACCACAATTGGACCATAAAAACTGCAGCTATGAATTATTCCATTTAATTACAGAAAACTTTGTACTAAAGCATACCATATTATATGTTCATTATGTTGATCTACTCATGTAGAGTCCAACAAAATTGGACTTTCTATTTTATGATTTTTCGTGATTTACTATGATTTTCAAAGATTTAGTCGAAATAAATAAATAAAAAAGACAAAACCGCTTATAATCGGGCCAGGGAGGTAAAATGAATGGTTTTAAAATATTAGGGGGGGTGTTTTGCCCGGTTGTTCAAGGAGAAAAAACGGACTTTCTTGAAAATTGGTGCGTATGTTTATGATCACCCACATCATCTGGACATAAAATTAGTACCGTCCTTTTTCGGTATGATATGACGAAATCAAACAAATGGACAGTTTTGCATCGTGTTGAATCCACCAAACAAGCACCTGTTCTCCTCGTCTACTTTTCAGCCACTTATGCTTATTTTGGTTTATTCTCTCTCATAAAAACACTATTAAATTAGTCAAAATCAGCTGAAATACCGTCAGCCCAACATGACAAGGATGCTAACAAACGGTTTGTTACCCACACAATTCACACGCACGCACGCGAAAAGCCACGAACTATTGCATCGGACCGTTCACCCTCCAGTTCAGTTGGGTCCCCAGAGGAGCAGGTGCATGAGCTTCTCCGTCCTCTCGATCTCCGCCTCCCGCTGCCTCCACTCCCGCTCCCGCTCCTCCCCCGCCGCCGTCCACGCGCGTCCCGTGGCCCGCAACGTCGCCACCGTCTCGGCCTCCGCCTTGGCGTCGAGCCGGCACGCGGACGCAGCAGCAGCTGCTGCCGCCGCCGGCTCCGGCTTCGGCCCCGGCCTCGCGTCGTGCTCGTACAGGGAGGCGCGGAACGCGCGCTCCCGCCCGCACTCCCGCCCGTTGCACATGCCTCGCTCGCCTCGCCGGCTGCGTGCCACCCGCTGGTCGCCGACGCCGACGGCTCCCCACCACCACAGGCCACCTGACGGCTAGCCGGCTCCCGCTGCAACCTCTCTTTGTGGCACGCTTAGACGCTACTGGTAGCTTGGTCACGTACGTTTTAGCTACCTGGTGAAGTGAATTTCTCAGGCCGTTACTTATAGCGAGCGGCCCTGCGTGAATTTCTCAGCCACACGATCACACCCAGACCGGCCCTTGGTGCGGGCGCGAGACCCGGCTCCGGAAACAAGTGATGCGCGTCTCGCCAAGCGCCAGGCGCGGGTGTGGGACTGTGGGTTCCGGGCCGGAGTGCGGTGCGGTGCGGTGCGAGTGCGCGCTGGCGCGGGGGAAACGGTGGCTGGGAGCGGGAGGAGCGTCCACGGTTTCGGTGGCTTCTAATCTGGCCCGTGCCCGTGGCGGCAGCGCGAACCCAGCGAAAGCGCCCGGACCCAGCCCACCGAAACCAGTGGGTGGCGCGTGGTGCCGGCGCGCGTGCGGTCGTCGTCTGCTCGCTGTTCGCTCCGCGGCGGTGGAATGGAATGGAATGGAATGAACCTGCCTTGCCAAGCCAACGAGACGACCGGCCAGTGGCACGACAGGACGCGTTCTTTTCTAGGGAAGTCGCCTCGCCGGCGCATCGCATCGTACTGCCCACTACATCGGTGAAACCGCGCGCGATCGATCGCCGACGGCTCGGCTGGTAGTAACTTAAGCAGATGGCTGGAGCGATTGGGATCTTGTCAGCTGTTTTTGCTGATTCCGTCCTGTTTGGCACGCGCCTAACTGTACACGTTCCTCTCGGTGAACTGCTAGGCTCAGCGTCAAAAAGGTTGTCACGATAGACGCAGCGTCCACATCCGTCGTGCAAAACTATGTGTGAGGCTCGAGTAACATCTCTGTTGTGTGTCCTTCTGGGGAAAAGGATCTGTGAACCTCTGTGTTGACAACCCAGGCTGAATTTAGTGCCAACACCCTGGTTGGCAAGTCCACAATTACAAATGCAATTCTTCAGCTCACCCGAGCAGAGTCCAAGACGACCAACCCTGATCAAAGTAGAGAGAGAGAGAGAGAGGGCTAATGGAGTAAACTACCATCCCGTGGCTCATTTGTTGTGTGTGTGTTCTACGGTATACAGCTTCGTCAACCATAAGTTCTCATCACTTGTCAGATCTCTTTGATTCGAAACACGTGTCAGCGTTCGCTTTAGTTGTTACAACTTACTATACAAATTAAATACAAAAAAACTACAAATTAAATACAAAAAACTATATGAATGGATTAAGTTCAATCATTTTTAGGCCCGTTTGGCATAACTCAGCTTCACCGATAAAACAAAGCCTCAGTGTGTGCTACCAATTGATGCATTTGCAAGTACAGCTGTTTAAGCAAAGCGGCTTGGAAATGAGACATGCATCCGGAAAAACTTGCTTAGTGAAGAAAAAGACGAGGGTATAACTGTCTAGAAGTGTACTGCCACTATATCTTATAGATAATACAAGAGGCTAGAATGGTACCTCTTGAGGCCTTCTAATACTTTGACCATTAGCTTTCCTAACCAACATCTTACCAAAATAAATGCGAAATACAAATCCACCGGTGCATCGAAAACACATATCTTTTGTCTAATTGATGCCAAAGTTTATAAATGTTTGATTTTTTTTTGAAGGAACAAATGTTTGATTTCTTTTTCCGATTCTAGTACGCACTAGAAATGGAGCTGCCATAGAGAGTAGCTGAAACACAAATCAAATTCCACAATCATAAAGTTTGTAGTAAAAATGTGCTGCACTGCGTTATAAAATCATCACCGTTATTATAGAAGGATGACAGTAGAACTCCTCTGTTTTATAGAAGGAATTAAATGGATCAGTAAAAAGTCATCAAACGAAGTCCAAGTAAAACTCAATTATAGGAGTATAAAAAAGTATCTCATACCGGTTCAATAAAAAAAACCGTAAACGAACGTTCCAGGCGTATGCAGCCCACATGCACCTCACCAGTCACCACCTCGCTCATTTTCGGTGAAAGCAAAGGGGAGAAAAGAATGCAGAATATTCTTCCAGACGCGGCCCAACCCCTGGTTTTTGGGAACCTGGGTGTAGTGAGCTGCCGAAAACCAGCAACCAGCAGAGCCCCCTGTTTTCCCCTCCCGCCGCGTCCGTCCTTCTCCTTCCTCGCTGCCGCCAACTGCCTGCATCGGCTACCTACCGGTGCCGGACATATATATAATCGCCTCCCCTCCCCTCGTCATCGCCGCAGTTCTGAGCGTCAACACAAGCAGACCAAGATTCAGAAGCAAGAACAAGTCTCTAGCTGGTGAGCGAGTGACCGATCATCAAGCTCGGAGCTAGCTAGCAGTGAATTAAGATGAGCGTGTCGTCGTGCATGGCCGTGAGCAAGAAGACGTCGTCGGTGGTGGTTGCGGCGAGCATGAGCGCGGTGGAGGCGCTCAAGGACCAGGCGGGGCTGTGCCGGTGGGACTACGCGCTCCGCTCGCTCTACAACCGCGCCGCCGCCGCCAATAAGGTCGTCGTCACCGGCCGCGCCGTGCCGGTGTCGCTCTCGTCGTCCCAGGCCGCGGGCGCGGCCTCCACTCCCGCGGCCGCCGGCAGGGCCGCCAGGCCCAGGCGGGAGGAGGAGGAGAAGCTGCACAAGGCGTACCACCTCGTCTGCTGGGGCCCTAATTAGTTCTTCTTTCTATACACGTCGTGTGCGAATTGCGATTCCTCTTCTTGTTCAAACATACAGATACAGAGATGTATGTGTCTACAAATTTTGCATGTAATCCGTCCTCTGAAGCCATGGGAATTGCTTATTGCTGGGTGATAAACAAATGGAAATGGGAAAATTTGTGATGTGATTAGTGATTACCTCTTGGCTCTTGCAGTCTTGCTGATCTCGAGTGACCATCTTACGCGCGTTAACACTGGTTATTACTGGAACAGTTGAACCGGACTCCCGGAGCGAGAAATCATCTGAGATTTTTTTTTTTGTGTGTGTGGTTTTTACGTGAGGTGCCAACTGCCAAAGACATGATGGGTGCAGCGGTGATGAATGATATGATCAGAGACAACCACTGAACTGAAGCACTGCTCATCAACGCTGCACACAATGATGCAATCGGTTTCAGTTTACCGATTCCCATGTAACCATGTTGGATCTGCATCTGCAACTCTCCTGCTGTCCTGCATATATGAAGAACGGGTACTGCTGTACTCCAGGTTGTGAGTTTGAGAGAGAAACGTTTTGTTTTTGGTAAAAGAGATCAACTTTGTAGTCTGTACTTGCACTGCCCAATTCAGGTGAGGGTGTGTTTAGTTGGGAGGTGAAATTTAGGTGAGGGTGTGTTTAGTTAAGAGGTGAAAAATTTTGGGTGTCACATCGAATATGTCGAAAGGATGTCGGGAGGGGTTTTTGGATACTCATAAAAAAAACAAATTACAGAACCCATCGAGGAAACTGCGAGATTTAATCTAATGATACTAATTAATCGGTCATTAGCACATGTGGGTTCTTGTAGCACTTAAGGCTTTTGATGGACTAATTAGGCTTAAAAGATTCGTCTCGCGATTTTGCCGAGAACTGTGCAATTAGTTTTTTTCGTCTACATTTAATACTCCATGTATATGTCAAACATGCTATTTGAGGCAAATAATTTTGGAAACTAAAACGAAGGCCTCAAGTTTGTTGGATTCTCCTCAGTTGATCGCCAGAGAGAGAGAGAGAGAGGCAGTACTGCTACCTTCCCGGTCTCATGGGCTGCATCGAGCGGCGGGCTCTCTGTCGGGCAATGGGCTTGGCGCCTTGGCCTTTGTGGAGACCGAGTGACTGATCTATTTTTTCCCCTTCAACGTTTAAAATTACACAACCATATGAATTTTCTCCATGCACTCAATTAAAAGTGTGTTTTCAGGGTGATTTCATTCTTTTTTTAGTTAAAAAAATTTGGTGAATACTTGCTAAGGTTTTTGAACCACGAAAAATATCTTTGAAATTCTAAAGTTTTGATAATAAACTTAGATATAGATTAGGACCCAAAAAATACAAATAATATATTTAGAGTTTGTGAAAATATCTCTAAAACATTCGATAAATTAGATTTAGATCCAGAAAAAAGGTAAACTATTCAGAAAATCTAGATTTTTTCAAAACATTATAATGGATGTCTTTTTGGAAACTTTTCGACAAAAACATGAGATGCAACCAACAGGAATGCATTCAACATCAAATGAATTTTGCATTTTTGCTTATTATATCTCATATTTTTGTAGTAGACATTAATTAGAATGTTTTGGAAAACTTCCATAACTTTTTAGACATTTCCTCATTTTTCTAGAGCTAAATCTAATTTTGGAACCTTCGAGAGATATTTCCACCAACTCTATTTTTTGGGTTTTTGTGTCACAAATTATATGTAGGATTTTTCTTAGAATTTGAGAAGCTTAGAGGTATTTTTCATGGTTTAAAAAACCTTATCAGGTATTTACTAATTTTTTAATTAAAAAGACGTTGAAAGAGACTTTTCACCCGAGCAGTGAGGTACTTTAAACTATTTTGAGAGTTGGAGGGTGTAAGAAATCCAGATTTGGTGTTGGAAGAGGAATATCACACCACAACGATAGTTTAAGGAGTGATGGTGGAGCTTGAAGGGAAATCAAGATGGGGCTAGTGGTACTAATTTGTTGTTTAATGTGCACATTTATTAATTTCAAGCATCAATTTATAGAAAGACCAGAAGTAGGCCTTATCCACAACTCAAAATTGATTTTTATTAGCCTATTCAATCTAATTCTAAGCTGAGTTAGTAGCCTTTACTTTAGTGTATATAGGTAACAAAAGTTTACTAAGTGTATATAGTAAGATGTATGATAAATAAAATGTAAGATAATAGAAAGACTTCATATTCTTTGCAAAGTCCCTTCTTCAGTCATAGATTGAAAAAAGGTTGCCACTTAGGGACCTTTGTATA